GATATATCACTCTTGGATATTTATCTAAGGAACTTTATCTCAACATATCAAAAACATTCTTTTACACCAATGCTTATTTCAGCACTATACAATATAGCTGGGCGGTGGTGCATGCCTTTAATCCCAGCACTTGGGAGGCAGAACCAGGCCTATCTCTCTGAGTTCAAGGCCAGCCTGGGCTACCAAGTAAGTTCCAGGAAAGGTGCAAATCTACACAGAGAAACCCTGTCCTGAAAAACCAAAAAAAAAAAAAAATAGCTAGGTAGGTTATGAACCAACCTAAATGTCTAATAACAGAGAAATGGAAAACAAACTTGTGTTTTTTACCCCCCCCAGCTTATGTTATTCTCAGGAAAATTAATGCTTGTTGAGATAATAATATCAAGAAATAAAGCCAGTCTCAGGAAAATGAATATATGTTTCTTCTTATGTGTGGATCCTAATTTTTATGTAGATATATAAAATCAATTATATACCCATGACACAAAAGTAGAAATGAAACTGTCTTGGAGATAATAGGATATTTATAGGAAGGGGAAGGAGTGGGAAGTGAGAGGAGAGCGAAGCAGAGGGACAATACACTCAGCATACCCTATGTATGTGAATAGAAATGTCCTTAAGCAACACAATACAATGGAAAATGAGAAAATACAATAGAACATTTTAACTGAAAAAAAAGCATGCCAAACATAAAATGGACACATAGCCCAGCTAAACAAAAACCAAGGATGTGAATCTATTTTTCTTCAACAAAGAGAGGCTGGTGTAAATTGAGCTCATGAGATGTTCCAAGTTGTTCATTAAGTGAATATAAAGCAATCTCTGCTGAAACACCATTTCTCACAGAGCAGAATATCTAGAATCAAAAGCTAGGTGATCATCAGTTGGAGGGCCACAAATAGATATCAGAACCCTCATGCACTGCTGGAGAAAACAAAATGCTGCTGCCAGTTTGGAGAACATTTTGACACTTTCTCTGGTCTTTCAATAAAAAGCATTATCAAATGGCCAGAAATTTTGTTTTAAGAAAAATGAAGATATTTGAGTAAAAGTTGTTCAGCTGTGAATATGTAAAGCTCTGTTATTCATAATACAAATGCACAGACAAATTATGTATCAATTGGCTGATGAAAGACTACATGAAGTGTAATATTTCCACACAATAGCACAATTTCGTGACATGAACAGTATTGGCATACATGATTCAATTAGAACAATGTTAAAAGACAGCCAGGAGGGGCCACATGTTGTGCAACTCCACAGAAACAGATGTCTTTGAAAGTGCAATATAGTGGAGATATAGTGTATATTAGTGGTTGTTGATGGCTGAGAGCAGGTTGGGGGAAACAGATGATAGAATTTAGATACATGTTCCTTTGTAACGTGGTGGAACCATTAACACTCACCATTGTGATGAGCACTCATATCTGGGACTATACTAAAAGTTAATGAAACCTGAATGGTAAATGGGTGAATTGTTTGGTATTTTAATTACATTTCAAGATGTTTTTAAGCATTTACTTAAGAATACTCTCAAGGTAGAATTTAAGAGAAGACATTAAAAATATAAGTAAAATTTGACCCTCACCTTGACAAAATAAGAAAATACAAATGCTTATGAGCTCAAACGGAAGACAGCATAGAGAAACAAACACACATGCAGCATTGCTCAGGGGATGGAGTAAGCTATAAAAGAGGTGGGAAATTATGTAGGAACTTGTTTCTGTTGGGAGGGAATGTGGTAAATGATGTATTCATGCTATATTTTTCCAAAGAATTTCATTTGCTTTTATTTTTTTTGTTTGAGAATGTCATACATGTGTATAATGTGCTGATAAAATGCATCCTCTGTTCCCTCTCCATCAAGCATGCTATCACCTACCATCATTTTCAAATCCCGGTTTCATGGTCGTTTTTGTTTAAAACCCCCTGAGTTCATTTAGTGCTGCTTATAGTCCATGAGTACAGGAACTTTTACTGGCACATGAATGAGAGTTCAAGGAATGCCTTGAAGGAAACAGATTCTACTTCTTCTAGTAGCCATTAACAGCCAATAGCTACACAGTGAGGTATGATTTTCTCCCCTAGCCATGCTGGAGATTTTATCTAGCTTCATCTTTTCCCATGTTGTGTGCATGCATTCTATTTGTGTTATATTTTCAATAAGATTTTTAAGATTTAGACCATATTCTAGCTTGCTTCCTATTCCTTTGATTAAACACTCCAATCAAATGCAACTTGTGGGTGGAGGATTTACTTCATATTCCAGGTTATATTCTTTCACTGAGGGAAGACAGGTCAGGAGCTCAAAGGGGAACTTGAAACACAGTAACCTGAAGGAACACCATTTGCTGCCTCACTTGCTAGCTCATAGTTAGCTAGCTTTCTTATACGTGTTGGATTATCAGCCCAATGAATTGTGCTACACACTGTGGGATAGACCCTCCCATATCAATTAACAATCAAGAAAAGCCCTCTCTGAAATACACACAGAGCAACTCGATAAAGTCATTTAGTTGAGACTAAATTTTTGGGTTTCAAGTTGATAGTTAATACTAACTGGGGTAAGCACTTTAATACAATATTCAGTGAGCTTACTGCAGTTTCCTATAGGACACAGAAAACTAGAATCAAGAAGAAAACATTCATTTAAAGAAATCTGTACCCTCAGGCATTACTCATCCACTACAATGATAATACTTCCTGAAGGATTCCCAGGGCTCTAAGTTCTTGGCATCGTTATCAAGAACTGCAAGATTGACAAGAATGTTACAGTTTAGAATGACTTTCTGTTTTCAAAGTTGTATTTTTGAGCTCATTACTTAAGGACCCTTGGGGGAATGAAAATGAACTAGTCAGTGAGGGGAAAGAATTTCATTTGGCAGTACTGGAGGCTTTTCTCTGAATTCCTGACAACTTGGACCTTCTTATCAACATCTTTTTAGTGTCCACCGCATACCTCTTTCCAATCCTGGTGAAACCACTTTGTTTTAGAATTTTGTTCTTTTGCCTCCCTCTGCTTTCTGTCCCTTAGCATCGTGACCCATTCAGGGGTTTTCTATTCACATGCACCTGGGAAAAAATGCTAAAGGGTATAGTGCATTTTACAGTGTCTTTAACAGTCCTTCAAAAGTGATCATTATATTCACTTAGCATCAAAATCTTTTGTTGTTTAAGCTTAGAAAATCTTTCTTTTTTACTTCATACACACAGTGGCCATTCGTTACTGTTATGATGAGGTACCTGGGGTAGGCTACCTTCTAAAACAAAAAGGTTTATTCTGATCACAGTCCTGGAAGTTCACAGGCAGGGTACTAGCTTCAGATGGGCTCTCTTGAAGACCTCATGTGGATAGTGTCACGATGATGGAAGGTTCATAAGCAAGAACGGTGGTAGATCACATTTGTACAGGGGCCCAAAGGCACCATAAAAGAGCTCACTTACTTCTTTCTAACAGAACTCTTTAGATAGCTTACCAAGGAACCCATTACAATTTCCTAAATTCTTCTGTGGGCACACCTCTAGTAGACTAATGACCTCTTGCTATTATGGCCAGACTGAGAAAACTAGCTTTCCACATATGAAAAGCTTGGGGCACAGGGGCAAACTCAGTCTCCAAACTATAAAACATACAGTAATAGTAGAAAACAGAAAGTAAGACATAAATAGAGGGACTGAGAAAGAGAGGAAAAGAGATAAAAAGGAAGGAGGTGGGGAGACAGATTGCATCAGTGTCCAAAGATAAAGACAACTATATATGAATTCCTAGCAAGCTAACATTTCAGGAGTCTACATGAAATGAACATCAGTACTAAAATTTAAACTGTGGCCTACAACCAACCTTTCCATAGAAGATAAATAGTAAAGAATGACATTAACAACTATTCTAGAAGAAAAATGCATCCCACATAATGAAATGAAAACTAGGTATTTAGTTTTTTCTTAAGAGCATTTGCTGTGGGATGGTCTGTATGTCAAATTGCTCTGATTGGTCAATAAATAAAACACTGATTGGCCAGTGGCCAGGCAGGAAGTATAGGCAGGACCAACAGAGAGGAGAACAGAGAAAACAGGAAGGCAGAAGGAGACTCTGTCAGCTGCCACCATGACAAGAAGCATATGAAGACTCCGGTAAGCCACGTGGCAAGGTATAGATTTATGGAAATGGATTAATTTAAGCTATAAGAACAGTTAGCAAGAAGCCTGCCATGGCCATACAATTTGTAAGCAATATAAGTCTCTGTGTTTACTTGGTTGGGTCTGAGCATCTGTGGGACTGGCGGGTGATGGAGATTTGTCCTGACTGTGGGCAAGGCAGGAAAACTCTAGCTACAAGCATTCAAAGAATATGCTCATGTTTTTCCTATAATGAAAGAAAGTTTGCTCTGTAAACAGCTCATATGTAATTTCTGTGAACTCCAAAAATCATTACACCTCCTCTCTCTAAATGGCAAGAGGATAATCAAAGTGAGGTTCCTGGTTAGGTGTCACATAGTGCAAAACTGAGAACAATTTGGTGGTCTCTTAAAAGGTCAAACCAGAGATTACCATGACTCAGAGAGTCTAATTTGTCCAACATACATTCAGCATCTGAAGCAGGATTGTTCCCAACAGACACGTTGCACTTGATGGAAGCGATCAACAAATGCAATTATCCCTGCAATGGAATAATTTGGGGCATAAAAAGAAATGAGGTGCATGCCACAGCAGGAATGGAAGTGAGAAAGAGCCAGCCACCCAAGACTACTCCAATAGAAAGACACAGTCGATTCCAGAGAGATTAAGTGCTATGGAGCAAATAGATAGGAATGTGTTTCTGGATTGATGATTACATTATGCACGTATTTATAAACATTTAAGAATTGTACAGTTTATAAGAGTGAAGTGCAGGTACAAATGAGTAACACACATTGGGAGAGGCCAGTGGGAACTGTGGACCCACTGTCTTGAAACTACAGCACGTGTGTGAGTTCCCAGCATCCTCTCCCAGCCTCGTGACCACAAGCCAACGGTCCTGCCCTTGGCAGGTCCTTGGTTGCCGGAAGTTGTGAGCATGGGCAGCTCCCTGGGCTCGCCCCAGAGATCAATGCCTGCCTCTGCCCCCAGGTGCCCAAGGTCTAGACCTTGGTTTGACTGGGTTCAGCGAGACCCAGACCCCAAGTCCCACAGGAACCTCCACACGCCCCAGAAGGTAGTGGGAACCTGGAGGCACTCCTCCACTAGACCTCCAGCAGAGGCCACCCTGGGCCTAGATCTCTCCAGCGCCTGGGACAGGTATATGAAACGATGGCTTTGGAGTGTACGGAATCCTGGATGGACGTGCAGCCCAGTGACGGTCAAGATTGCCCCTCCTGAGGGTAGAGGCAGCGCTCCGACCTCTCTGGAGCATAGAACCCGTTTTGCAGGGTGTCCTGATGAGTGTCCAGATCCCTGTGCTAAGGAGACTGTGCTGAGGGCTCTCAGCCAATGCAAGAAGGGGACTAGACGGTTTGATGGACCGCTGTGGTTCGAAGTCTCAGAGGTGAAAAACAGAAGACAGAATCCAGAGCCCAAGCCCTCATCTGCCTTCAAACCCTGGGTGAAAAATGGAGTGGCAATTTCCTTTGTTCCCAAACCAGAACCTCTGAAACGAAGCCAGGACTGCTGGAACCTCAATGCCTATGAGAACGATACTGACCTCCAGCTGCATATCCACGCTGCTAGGCAAGCAGTGCCAGAGCCTCACATGGAAAGCTGGGAGAAGACCCAGGCCTCTTATGACCCCTCTCTAATCCCTGTGCTCAAGACCGGAGTCTTCGGTGTCTCCTTGGCTGGTGGGGATTTCTATTCCTCTACCTCCCTTGACTTCTAATTGTCTTAAGTCTGTCATCCTTTTTGGACTTTCGTACCCTAGCCCTACATTCTATCCCAGTTTGGGACTTAAACCTTGTTCCAGCTCTCTATCTCCTGTCCTGTCAAACCCAATCCATTGCTCTTGCCCATCGTGATCCTTCTGCCTTTAAATCCAAACCAACGTCGCTGGAATGTGTCGCTGCTTCCCTATTTGCCAAATTTGTATAGCTAAACATTTACTTATTAAAACAGTATTATCAATGAAAAGAGCTTTTCATGCAGATATTTTCCAGTAGGACAAGAGCTAATCTAAAAACCCTTTACTGTAAACTTCTTCATTTATTTGAGATCCTAATCCTTAGTCCAGTTGAGCTAGAGAATAGTGAGAGAAAATAAAATGTTGAACTGTAGTGAAGAGTGTGGGTTGTAGACTAAGAAACATTCAATAAAGAAAAACGTCTATGATGTGATTGATACTTTAGAAAGGTGATTCTGGCTGCATTGTTGGTTACCTAGAAGCAGCAACTGAGGTAGAAACAACAAGTTCAATACAGTGTGTCTGCCAAGAGTTGAGAGAGTTGGTAGGTTTGAGAGGAGAATTATGCAGTGGGATAAATGTGTTCAGAAGAGGCTTGCCGTGTTGAAGGCTTATTGGCGCTCCAGCTGATAGCACTGGGAATGTAAAAAAAAAATCACAATTTACACATTATTTTTTTTTCATGATACTAAAATGGATATTGTGCCACTTACTGACAGAAAATACCAGCAGAGGAAAACATATTTGAGGAAATAGTCTTTTCCGTCATGTTTTCTAGAATAATGATATTCTTATTCCAGTAGATTTTTCAGCTGTATAGTTGAATAAGTCTGGAACTCATAGTCTGAAGCCAGGGAATTAATTCAAGATGTCTGACCATATAAGGTCAAGTATAACATAAAATTAAGGTCAAATAGAGTTAAGAGATGAATGATGCAATGTGTACAGGGAAGGGATGAGGCAAGGAACCTCGGGTGCTCCAATATTTAGAAACTGAAAGAAAGCAGGTAAGAAAATCCTGGGAATAAACAGCCACTGGAGTAGAAGGAGATCCAGTATCAGTGGGCCCTGAAGAGTAAGTATCTCAGACCCTAGTGTCACCACTTCTGATTTAAGAAAAGGCTTTGTTCAAGCTGAGGGCTGGCAGGCCAGAGTCTCAGCAAAAAGACAGAATTTTCTCTTACAAAATTCTCATTCTCTAAGCATTTACTTGAGGAGGTCTGCACTTTTCATTCATTTCAGTGATTCAGCTCATCCAGAAACATGCACAAAAACAAGACCAGAAAATATTTTGAGCACTCTGCAACCTAATTAGGATTAAGTCGTCCAAAGCAACAATAACGTTGATCATGGAACCGAAGCTTGGGTAAGAAAAAAAAAACTTAACAACTATTATCAAAAGGATAAAAGTTAAGTGTGGAATGTGGAAAAAAGGAAGCTCTTGAAAACTGTAGGTGATAATGGAAAATTAGTAGATCCACTATGAGAAACTACAGAAGTTCATAAAAAATGATAGAGAGAACTTCCATGTGATCTCTTAATCTCATCTTTATGTAAATAGCTAAAGAAGTGGAAGCAATATGTTGAAGAAATATAAGTTCTCTTTTCTTCATTTTAGCATTATTCATGCACACAAAACAATATGGAGCCAATTTAACACCCATTGGTAGATGAAGACTATGTGGTGTATATAGAAAATAGAACACATTCAAATACAAAAATGGAAGAAATCCTGACACTTGCATGAATATAGATAAATCTGACTCATGTCAGGTAAGTCCAATGGAGAAAATATCTCTAACATATGTAGAAGCTAAAATTGTGTATTCATAGACATTATTACTACAATGAAACTTTAGTAGCACAAGGCTTGGGGTGCTAGAGAATCTCTGGTAAAGATGCAAAGTTGGATCTAGAACACTTTCAGAACTAATATTCAACATGATAATTACAGTTAGTAATGACTTATTGCACAACTGAAAATTTGAGAATAGATTCTGTTGTTTGTTAGATTCTTACCAAAAACATGTTAGGGATGTAAGGAAATGTATTTGTTGATTTAACCATTTTATAATGCATCATATTTCAAAAGATAACTTTGAGCAAGTATAGATACATGTACTTTGTTTTTCATTTAAAATGTGATAAATATTATGGAAGATTACCAAAAAAATCTTGGGGATGAGTAGATGTTAAATGTCATATGCATTATGACCAGAACTGATGATGGAAAGGACTGGTGGTGAGGCATAGTTAATTCAGATTTTCAGTGAGTGAAGACAGAGCAGGATGGCACCAGGAATGAGAGTTGGCCTACAGGTTCTAGCATTATCACTTCAAAGTACTGTGAATCTTCTGAAAGAGCAAATAACAGTCATAGCTTGGAAGGGCAAGGTAGAGTAATGATAGATTCACTATCATGTCAAAACCATGAGGGTCATGGAATGCCAACGTAGGTAACACAGCTATGTTCCAAGCTGAGCACATACATAGCACAGCTGCAGGAGAGTGAGACCTCTGGGATATTTTCTAGAAATTTGTGAGTTTTAGGGATACTGTGTCATATTCAAGAACAATGGTCAGAAGTGAAATCATCTGAGCACCTTCGCAGCTAGGAGAGACTCCTCCCTCCATCATTTACACAGTGTCTCAAGTCCTGTTAGTCAAATTATAGTATAGATAGTCTATCTAGATTCAGAAGTAAACTTTATGCAAAAGACAGCATTTTGGAGACCTTATAAGATCTGAGTGAAGCCGGGCAGTGGTGGTGCACGCCTTTAATCCCTACATTCAGAAGGCAGAGCCAGGTAAGTCTCTGTGAGTTTGAGCCTAGCCTGGTCTACAGAATGAGATGCAGGACAGGCACCAAAGCTACCCAGAGAAACCCTGTCTCAAAAACAAAAACAAAAACAAAAACAAAAAGGTACCAAACAAAAAAGATCTGGGAGAAAAAGCTACTGAGAAAATGAATTGAAGGAGAGCAATATCTAGCCAGTCATTACACTTGGGCTGAAAGGGGTATGGATTCGGTCACCACAGACTGACAATTGAAATTATGCCTGTACTAAGCATGAGCAGATTTTTTTGTCCTTTCCCTAGTTATTCAGCCTAATAATTATTTGATGTAATTTTCACATTCTGTGATTATTAATATTGCCTGTCAACTTGACAGGACCTAGAATCACCTGGGAGACAAACCTCTGGGCATATCTTTGAGGAAAGTTCTAGAATGGATTAAGTGAGGTGAGAAGACTCATGTTAAAAGTGAACGGCACCATTTCAGGAATTGGGTTTCTAGACTGAGAAAAAAGAAACTTAGTTGTGCACCAGCTTTCAACATTGCTTCCTCAGGAGAGATACAGTGTGATCAGCCAATTCACCTTCCTATTGCCTCAACTACCCCGACAAAGAAACCCTTCAGTTCCTATTGTCAGGTATTTTTCCACAATAAAAGGAGAAATGCACAATCCATTAGCTACTTTAAAAAAAATAACTGTAAACATTTTAAAATTCTAAATTACCATGCAAAAGATAAGGATAATGCATCACTGTGGCCAGTGTCAGTATCTCCAGAACTGTTAAAGTATTTATGCCTGGTCTGTCACTGGGGATATGATGATGGGAACTGTCAAATCAAGAGAACTGGGGTTTTGTGGAAAGATGGGGGAAGAACAGTTAATGCAGACTGACAAACTAGACTATAAGGCAAGAGCACATTTTTTCTGGGAACTATAAAAATGTTAGAAAGGTGTTGTTCTGTAGATAATTCAGAAAAATTAATCTTAGAAATTATCTAGAAATTAACTAAAAAAAGACAGCATTGAAGAAAATGGGGAAGTGAGTAGGACCAATATAGTTTACATATTGCAGAGATTTTGGATACAGAAGAACACAAAACAGTTTAGATATTTCCTTCCTAATCACGATGTTTTTTATGATTCCAGTCTCTTGATATTTTCTAGATAACACTTTCCTATGGCTGCATGTTTTCCTTTGTACTTCCAAACAGCAGTTCAGTAAATGGAGTCACATTGCATAAATTGAGACAAGAATTCAATTTGCCCCAAAACTTTGTTTCAACAGAAAGGGTAGAAGCATTATATTATTCTCCATATAATTAGATAATTGAATAAAAATGTCTTTACAGAACCAATCTTAGCAAACTGTGAGAAGGAAAGAAATAGGAAAAAATACACCATGTCAACAATGAGAGATAGAGATGAATCATACAGTTGAATTGACATTTCCAGTGATGGAAAGATGGCTTTGGTGGAAAAGCACTTGCTCTGCAAGCCTAAGCATCTGAATTCTGGTCCCCAGTACTCACATAGACTCCATAGATAGTATCACCCACATGTAATTTCAAGACTAGGAATACAGAGAAAGATCAGCAAGTCTCACTGAATGATGAGCTCCAGGCTCACTGAGAGGCCAGGTACCCTAAAAAAATTAGGTGAAAACCCACTGAGGAAGACATTTTAAAGACTACCTTGGCCTCTACACACACACATGTATACATGTACACATACAGGAACTCACATGCATCCATAGTTGAACTATCTAGATTTAAAGTCAACTGAAAAATTAAAACTTTGCAAAAGAAAATAAAGTGCTATTATTTTCTGTATAAAAATACTGTATTAAAATTACTGTATTAAATATTAATATAGAAGATCTGCTGTAGTTCTTCTTGCTCAGACTGAAAAATGCTAGTTGTTTAACTCTAAATCCTTAAGAAAAAATGTTATATCATGCTGATTCTAGTTGAAAACATTTTAATTACAATTTTATTTTCCTTTTAAAAATGAGAAATGGATGGATCCACATAGTTAACATTTCAGCATTTTTCAAAAGTCTGAGTTGAAACTTTCATGCCAGTTTCAATGTAAGACTTTGATATGAGCCCTTGTAAACTATTTTAAATTACATTATACTAAGATACTGTATAGAGAGTAAATACTTCCATCTCAATAAAGAAGAACGAGGACATTAAAAAGAGGTATGGGGTCAAAGGAAGACTGAAATCTGTCAAGGCACACATGACATACTATCTAGATCTCACATTCTAAGTATGTCGTGGGATATATGTGCTCCAAAAAAAACTGAGCAGCCAGTACTTTTGTTTTGACATTTATAGTCACAAAGGACCAGAATTCAAGGTCAATACCACCTTGGTTTCTTCTTACTCTATGATTAAAGTATTTGGTATCTTCAATAATGGAGTCTTACCATAGAATTCTGGCAGGCAGTAAGAATAATGCATATCCCATTTGGTTTTGAGCGGGGGAGGGTGTCTCTGGGATAGGCTGGACCAGCAACTCAAAGGGGGAAATGCAAATGACTAAAAGACAATTTAAAAAGTGTTAACATTGTTAGCCATCAGGAAAAGCCCAAATGAAAGATATTTGGAAGTATCATTTTACCCTAGCCAGAACGGTTAAAATCAGGAAAACAAATGCCAGTAACAAAAATCAATTCAAAATAGATCAATGACCTTAATCTAAAACCTGACATACTAAAAATACTGTGGAGAAATATAGGGAATGTATTTAGAGTTATAGAAATAGGCAAAACACTTCTCAAGAGAATTCTAATAGCACAGGAAATAATCTCCCAAATGAGCAAATGAGACCTCATGAAATTAAAATGTTTCTGCACAGCAAGGGAAAGTATCATCAGAGTGAACAAACAGAAGGGTAGAAAATTTTTTATAGAAATACCTTAGACAGGGTGCTGATATTCAGATTACACAATGAACTGTGAATGTAGACATCAACAACCAAAGGCTGCCAGTCAATAAATGGGCTAATGAAGTGAGCAGATAGTGCTTAAAGAGAATGCACAAATGACCAGTAAGTACTTTTTTGAAATGTTCAAAATATTTGGCTATCAGGGAAATGCAAATTAAAACCACTCTGTGATTCTCTCTTACCCTAGTCAGAATGGCTAGAATGTTGAGACAATGAGGATAACCTTCTAACCATGATTCAAGTGCACTGGAGTGGCATTTCTCAATGTGTATGGTGAGTTTGCAGCAGAGAAAATGGAAAATGTACATTCTTTAGTGCACTCATTAGAGCTCCAGAGCCTTGAGCTTTACAAGTTATTTGTATGTCTATGTCGGAACAGAAAGAATGCAATTTATGTACTCTTACCTTCTTGTTGAAGAATGATAACCCTCATATCAGTATATGTATTCATAAGTACCCTTTCATAAGCATATATGAATATTCAAATACAGTATGATTTCTCCCTGACTGTAGTGCATCAGTGAATTACAAAATTTACATCAATGCAAATCTCAGTGAATTACAAAAATTACATCAGTGCAAAGCTCAGTGAATTATGGAATTCACATAGGTGAGGACCAGTCCAATACAATCAGATTAAGTTAAAGAATGAGCAAGAATATTTTCCTCTGTACAGACTCACAGGCTGACAGTGTTGTTTAGAAGTTCCGTTAATTTCACATCCATGTACCTTCTTCCTAATCCTTCCCAATATCCCCAGAAAAAGACACAGTTTCAGATTGATTTGTAAGTACATTCCCTTTCTGTTCTTTTGAGCTTCCATCACAGATATCTAAATATATATGTATTTGACTTAAACATAGATGTTACAATGTTTTATTTTCCTTTGTCAACACAGAGTTAAAATTTCTGAGAAAGTAGTGCCTTTTTCAATTTTATAAGCGATTGTTTAGCATTCCATTTTATGATTCTTCATTTTCTGATAAGATTTAGTTATGAATATGGTCATACTTCAAGTGAAAATTAATTCTGGTTTGGTAGAAAATGATCATTATCAACACCATCACTCTTCAGAAATATGTAAGCAAAAGCCTAGTTGTAAAGTCATTAGGATGACTCCACAGGGAAGCTGTGTGTAGTACTCATTTGTCCAGCCAGTCCATTTAGGTCCCACCGAGTGTCTTCCAGTTCTGTTTGCTCACAATTAGAAGCTGCTTTCTAACAACCTCTAAGAAGCAGTCCAAGGATTAACATCATCTGTCTCTCCCATCTTTCTTTTTTCTTCAGCTTTGCTACATTTTGATGACACTTGTCCTTATAATGTAGGGTCCTATTCCATTGCATCAGGCTCCCCAGCACTGATATGAAAGACATGGATCATCACAATTGTCTTGTATTTTCTGTAAACATCTACAGAACTGTTGAGAATTATATCCTAGAATCAAAGTGATGATGCATAAAATATGACTAGGCTAAAGCGTTAAGGGAGAAGCAAACAGCATACAGTGGTGTATGTGCTTTGAAGAGTATTCAAAGATGGCATTCATGAGTGAATATCCATTTACAACAATCTGCTAAAGGATAAGAATTTTACTGTGACACCCAGATGTAGAGGGTTTGTTCCAGAAAGCAAGAAGGGTATGACAACTCAGGCAGAACAATTAGCACCATGTCTTGCCAGGAGTCACAGGAAAGCAATGCTGGTTTATGAAAGCTTTTTGTCTTTTGTCCCTTTATTTTTGGAGGAGTCTCTGACACACTGAAAGGTGCCACCCTTAGTTAGCTTGGTTCTTTCTCCTTCGGGTAATCTTTTGTTGAAATGTCTCCGCAAACACAGAAGTGTGCCTGGCCAATCTCCTCGGTGATAATAACCGCAGTCAAGCTGACACTGCGGAACAATCATTATACGGCTATTTTTGAGGCCCTCTGTGCAACAGAGGCTTTTCCAGAATTCTTCAACTATTACATGTGGGGAGTACAGGAGGTGCTTTACGTGTGTGTAGTTAAAGACTGGTCTAGTGGAGGACATACTTAATGAGGCAGAGAGGCTGTGACTCTCACACCCAACAGCTGGAAATTGTTATATAAGCAAATTAAAACAAGTGAATCAAAGATAACCTGTTGCTGATGTGACAGCTTGACAAAATGCATGAGGAAACAAAGACAAGGGCACAGGAACTACACAGGAGCGTTTCAGTCAAGAGACTCACGCAAATCGTGAAGAGTACCGGAGAAAATATAATTAGACTAAGTAAGAATGAGAGTTTCCCTTGACATGAAGTTTGAAATTGGCCAAATTTCCTCATAAAGGAAGAAAACACAGAATCTTTTATGCGAGGCTGGGTCCTTAAGGCAGGTGGCAGAGACCTAAAATTGCAGCACACTGTGCATGAGAGGTCCTGGAAAGAAGCTATCTGCAGAGGCTGATTAACTAATTAGAACATCAATGACACAGAGAGGCTTTGATGTTTCAAGACCAGAGTTATCCTGGAACGCCCGTAGCCTTGTCAGTGGACATTTATTCCTCTTTACATGACCTAGCATCTTTGTGACCATTGAATAAATTCTTTAGAATGTAGAACCAGATCCCTAGTTTCCACCAATGTAAAGGCTCAAGGGCGTTGTCAGACAGCATCTGGATCTGCATGCGTTTTCTCGGCTTTGCTGCACACAACCAGCCCGATGTACCTGATAGTGTATTTAGAAAGAGTTGTCTTATGGTTTCATTTGTTCTGTTGCTGTAAAAAGTTCATAAAACTGATAGGTCGTTAGAACATGCTGTTTGGGGAAACCTATATCTGTGGCCTTGGACCATGTGCATTCATATTTGGTTTCAGAATGAGGCATCTTCTATTATTTTGTGGCCTAAGAGCTATTTCTTTCATTGACAACACCAACTTGACTTGCCTCTTGAAACAAGGGAGTGTCATTCACTGATTTCAGGGTCATCCTCTTTTTTTGAAACAAGTACTCTTGAGATCTAATTTCTATACCTCCTACAATAAAAATGAATAATTTGTGCTTAGAAAGAGGGAGAAGCTCCTCTCTCTCTCTCTCTCTCTCTCTCTCTCTCTCTCTCTCTCTCTCTCTCTCTCTCTCTCTCTCTCTCTCTCTCTCTTCTCTCTCTCTCTCTCTCTCTCTCTCTCCCTCTCTCTCTCTGTCCCTCTCTCAGTCTCTCTTTGTCTCTCTCTTGGTCTCTTTCTATGTCTCTCTCTCCCTCTCTCTTTCTCCTTTTGAATTTGAATATCTTATGTTAACATCTTGCAGAGATAATTAAACAATTAGCTTGATGTCCACTTGCTGTTCATAAGGTTACATTTCATTTTTACAGAATTTTGAGGATGTCCGCATCCAGTCTCTATGGAAACCCTGTCTTACTAATGAGGGACCACTGAGCTAGAGTCAGGTCTTGAAACAAGTTTATTCTTTTCTCTGTATCTCTGAATAAAAACACTATGATATCTTGAAAATCATTCTATTTTTTTCTGCTTCTGAACATATCAACAAAAAGACACTAGAAATATTCCTTTGAAGATCTTATTGTTGTGACTCCATTCATAAGCAGTCAGCTCATGTTGTCTGCTAATCAGTACAACACACTGTTAAATAAGTTTATCCAAATAGACACAGAGCCTTATGAAACGTACGTCCTTAATGAGGCACAACAGTTTAGAAAGCCCTGTAAATTTAAAAGAAAATGCAAGATGCTGTGGCATTCAGCCCCTCCCTTTCCGTATTCCAACAATGTCTGCATTATGTAACAAGTTTGTTGAGAAACATCCAGAGAAGAATTCTCTTTCTAACATAAGATAATTTCTACAACTTGATTGCTGTGTACAGAAAACATAAATGCAATGAGCAATATGGAGAAATTGCTTCCTTACCAAAGCATTCCAAGAACATTTTCAGACAGTAAGAAGTTGATAACGATGAATATCCATTTAGATGCTAGTATCCTGTGAATCTTATTTAAAATTGTGTGCAGCCCATGCCTGAGGGTTGGGGAATGATCTATTTCATCCTCCCAAGCTCTTCAGTGAGCGTTAAGACAAGCAGATGATTTGCACATACTACCTTGTGCAGCACTATCAGACCATGGTTATCATCTTACTGGTTTTCTTTCTTTGGGAAATGTCAGACCCAAGAGTGAAGGATTCTAGACAAGGACACCAATGCTATCACATATGCAGGAAACCTTTTCCCGCCTCTCTCTCTCCCTTAAAGAGCTAACCTGCAAGTTCTGTAGGAAAAGCAAGCAGCTGTGAAGGTGACAGACTCACAGCATCTGTCCCTTCAGTTTCAGATGATTCCTGGGCCAGGAGTGAGGTTGGGTAAATGTGTTCTGGCTTCTGGGAAACATTTCAGATATAATGTACACAGCCATCCATGAAGTATTGCAGGTCATTGCAACACACATTGTATTTTACATTCTGGCTTAGGTAAACATTTCACCCTTCCCGTCATTATAGGTTTACAGACCAAAGTGGCTGAACCATGAATTATAATGGCTTTTGAAATGCATTGATGGGTAGCTAGTATATCGTGTGTGTGTGTGTGTGTGTGTGTGTGTGTGTGTGTGTGTGTGTGTGTTAACTAAGAAAAAATTGCTTGTCTGAAGCCTCCAAGAAATCTCAGGGAAATATGTTGTTCTAGAAGAATTTTCTGTTTATTAATAAAAGGACATAATTTTGAAAATACAAAATTGTTTTTGTCATGTTATTTCTATTATTTTCCTGTGTATATCACAGTGGGAAAATCTAAAACACTAGATTTGTGCTATGGTTAAGCCAGACATGCTGAAAGAAATGCATGAAAAGTGTTTTAAAGTAGACTAGATACTTATATATGTCACATGATTTGTATACTCATTTTCATAAAAGTCTCTTTACTCATTTCAAATTTAAGATTTCAACTCTCAGTCTGATGTAATCTGTATATCTGAGTTTAGGAGGAAAAGGACATGAGTTCATTTTTTTCTTCAGCAACAATCTGTTATTTATATCATGTCCCAGTCTTGAAGATACGAAAGCTAAAGAGAGGTTAAACCATTCATAATACCCTTTGTAGAACTCACTGTTTCTGGATCTGTGAGGAGCAAATGCTTGTTATTTAAGGTCACCCAGTATATGGCATTTTGTTAAAGAATCCCAAAAAGACAAGAAAAATTATGTGACTGAAATATAGTGAGAAGTAAATAGGTCTAAATCTGCTCCATTTATATGAAATTATAGGTACGGATTATACATGTGCTGTA